AAAAAAAAAAAAAAAAAAAAAAAAACAAACCACAAAATCCTGGTCCCTTTGGTGGAAGCGATCCCGGGCTTAAATCGGAGCGGGCAGGGATGTCCCCGGGCTGGCTCGCGCGCTGCCCACGGAGGGGCTCGGTTGCTTTAAGTGCATTGTTTTCTGAATGGTGAGAAAAGGCAATTGTAAATTGTATTGGTCTACAGGGTATATTTTTGATACCTTCAGTGAATTATGTCAATATTTTACGCAAGGAAGGACTTAAACAAAACACAGTATTACATGCTGTAAAAGAGGTTCTGTTCTTACATGCAGGCTTTGATGCGTTTGTCCATTGTATGGAAGGGTTTAAAAAAAAAACAAAAGAAGAGAAGGTAACAATGATCCATCAAAGTTATCTGTAAGTCAGGAGAATGTATGAACTTAGTTTAAAAAAAAAAAAAAATCAAAATCTTGCCATGGTTGCAGGGCCCCCCGTTACACACACCTTTGCTGAGTCAGCAGAAATGCTTTGCTGGTTGTAGCCGTTGATTCTCCGGAGCCCTCCGAGCTGGCCGGGCGCAGGGGCAGAGCGGGCAGGAGGCCGGCATGGCAGGGAGTTCACAGGAAACTTAAAAAAAAAGGAAAAAAAGAAAAAAAAAAGGAAAAAAAAGTTTTTATTGTATTTTTGTGATACACACAAATGCTCTACTTTACATTATTTTTTTTCATTCCATGATGTTGGCTCATATCTGCAGTTACATGGTTAAAGAACAAAATATTAGACTTTTTTTCATTCACTTCTGCTTTCTCGCTCTGGGAAAAAAAAAAATGGCAAAAAAACAAAACTATGTATTAAATGCTTTGCATTCTATACGCTAGAGGAACCCAGAGCACGGCACAGACTTTCTGCCTCTCGGGCTGCTGGGCGGGCAGCCGGCCCCCGCAGCCTCCCGGCAGCCCTCGCATCTGACGCGCGGGCCCGGCGGCGAGGCCAGCGCCGTCGCCTTCCTGATGGATCTTTCTTTTCCCCCTGCAACGTTCCCAGGTTGATTCTGATATCAAAGCAAGAGAATGATGGTGTTTGTTGTTTGTTTGGGGTTTGTTTTTTTTTTTGTTGGGTTTTTTTTGGTTTTTTTTACAATGTACAGGTTTTTAATGTTCATCAATGTTTGTGTCTTTTCTGTTGTGCTTTGGAAGTCTTTCCGTTCCCAGGTTATTGCTGCTGGTGTCTCCGTGGCTCTGACATGTAAAACTACCAGAGCTGATGTCTGGGCATAACGCTATTAAAGTGTTGCAGATTTTGCTGGGGGGAAAAAAAAAAAAAAAAAAATCCAAATCCGACCCATCTTCAAAGCCACCTCCTTAAACTTTTCGGAAAAAAATAGCAAAAAAAAAAAAACACGACAAAGAATAAAGTTCCCACTTGGCACAGTAGCAATACTGTGTGCTGCTTGGTGTCTCCAGAAGGCCAGGAAGGTGCCTGCTGCTGGTGGCAGGCGGCTGCGGTGCTGGCAGCCCCGCTGATCGGCACCGCAGACCCTGCCGCCAGCGGCCCTTGCCGCACAGGGACCCAGTGTGGGTTGAGACGTGGAGAGAGGGGCGAGAGAAGGGCCTGAACTGAGCTGCTGCCCTTGGCGTGGCTGCACCAAGCCTTGGCTTTCACTGCGGCTTGCTCTCGCCGGTGCTACCCGCAGCCCCGCAGCGTGCCAGGGATGGAGGCGCTGGGGCAGCGTTTGGGTTCCTCACTGTGTGGGTATCCCGTGCCGACCCCGCAGGCTGAGCACAGCCGGGTGTTGGGACATCGGGAAGGGCCACGGACTCCAGCTGGGAGCTGCAGAGCCGCCTTCTCGCCACCCTGGCCGGAGCGGGGTTGGGTTGTCCTCCCCATTAACCCCGGGCAGCGTTTGCCTGCGCTGTAGCCAGCACCTGAAGCCACAGGCTGGAGGGTGAAGAGCTTGTCCCACCCTTCGGTGCTAACCCCGTAGCTGTGTTTCTCTTTTCCTCTTGTTTCCACCATGTCTTTCGTGTGTGCGGGGTGAGGGTTCGGAGCTGGCGGGGCTGGCCAGGAGTCCTGAAGCGTAGCTGATGCCCGGGGCTGTGCTGTGAGGGCGTCAAAAGAGTTTTCAGATGTTTGTGAGGTTGTTTTAGTCTTTTTGGGGTTTGTGGCTTGGTGCTGGTGGATGGATGGTTGGGCAGATGTTATCCACCATCTTCTGGGCAAGGCAGTGTTTGCAGGAGAGGACCGTGCTGTGGGGCTGGGAGGACGTGGAGGTGCCGGGGAGATGCCGGGACACCCAGCCGCTGTGGGGCTCTGGCAGCCTCACACCCCCTGCTCAGTGGGATCCTTTGGGGCCGTTTCTGGAGCGGGGAGCAGGACACATCGCTGGTGTTCCTGGCTCTGTGCAAGAGCTCGGGCCCTGGCTGTGCTGCGCATCCCCATCACACCAGGACAGCCTGCCCTGGGCTGGGAGCCGCGGGAGGGGAGCAGCCGGGGCATGCGTGAGACCGGCCATGGCAGGGGTGTGTGTGGGTTTTGCTCTGGCAGGATCCTACACTTGGGGAATCCCCCTGGCAGAGAGCTCAGCCCCGCGGCCGGCCACGGCACGGCTCGGTTTTGGCGCTGTCTGTCTTGCTGCATCTCCATTGTCTGGTCGCCCCATGCACGCCCCGTCTCCGCACAGACCCTCCTGCGGCCGCCTGTCCCCTAGGGCGTCCCCACAGCAGCAGGGACAGGGGCAGGGCACGGGGGGGACACGGGGGACACACACGGGGTGGCAGCGGTGGCAGCTCCCATCGGGGAGCTCTGCAGCGCCCTTGCTGGGGTGCTGGAGCAGGGAGCATCCTCCTGCTGCCGATCAGTTAATCTGGGTCAGATTGATGAGTCGGCAGCGTGCCAGCCGGGAGGCCCACAGTTAAAAAAACCCCAAGTTTCAAGTTAACGTTCGCCAACTTTGTAACTTGTACAAACGGGCAAACAAATTATTGGACAATCTATTGCTCGAACTGTACCGGGGGAAATATCTATCTTTTGTACAACAACCTGTGCATAGCTGTTTTGAAGTGAGTTGTATGATAGCCGGGGCTGTACAGAGAAACCACCAGGTGTAAATATTTCCGCAGCTTGCTCTAGAGGGGTGAGTTTCTGCTACTCAAGGTGAAGGGGTTTGTTCACTGTTACTTCGCTCGGCGTGCCCACCAGCAAGCGGTGTGGGTAGCAGTGTCCGAACACTGCCTTACTGGTTAAATAATAAAAAAGCAAAGAAACCAACCCAAAAAAAAAAAGCTTATTTGGCAGCAAAATATAGCGCGCTCTTGCCTGTTTGTGTGCGTGAGCCCAGGCAGGGCGAGCTGCTTGCGGCGCAGCCACAGGGGGAGCGGGATGGATCACGGCGAGGGGGTGCGGGGCAGGTTGGGGACCCCTGCGCTGGTGGGGCACTGAGGGGCTGAGTGACCACTGCTGGTGATGGGGACGGGACTGCTGGAAGGACCTTGGCAAGGGATGAGTGTGCTGGGTGAGGGAAGAGTTTGCTGGTTGAAGCACGACAGGACATCCCACCCTAAAGCTTGGGGGATCGGTGCTCTGGCCAAGTTGCAGCCCCCCTCCTTGCCTCAGTTTCCCCATCTGCAGGCAAGGCTCGCACCCCTTTGCTGCTTTTTAATCAACTGATGGCTAAAAGCTGCTTAAGCACAAGGTTATTATTGCTGAGCTGGGAGTATCCTCCTTCATATGGACCTGAAAAGGTCTGACAGCACCTGGGGCAGCATCCCCAACCCCCAACAGGGCCGTGCATCACCCCACCTCCCCCTCCATCTCCCCTTAGGGAGGCACGTGCCTCTCCCTCCCCATTAACACAGCCCATGGGCATGAAGTGTGCTGCACAGCAGCTCTCAGAGGAGTGATTTCTCCTCTCCATCTATTTTTATTTATTTGTATATATTTTTAATATATTTTTTCTTATTATTATTTTTCATTTTTATGCTATCATCATCATTATCATAATTTTTTTTTTTTAACATGGCCAAGCTCCCTCCTGCCTGCAGCTCCCCAGAAATCAAACCCTCCCCGTTCTTTCCTGGCAGCACTAACGCCATCCAGCCGCATCCCACTGCCGAGGCTTCTTCCCGTCCTCCCACCCAGACTGTTTTTGTTGGCTTCTCATAGCGGAAATGTGAAAATCCTTTGAACCCTCCCAAAACAGCTTCTTGCAGCTCTTTGGGTGCTTTGTCTGGGCCTGGGGAGCAGGGACTGCAGTCACCAAGGGATGCTGGTGGCACCCAAGGGTGGCT